ATGCCCTGCGAATTTTCTCCGATGGGACCGAAGAAAACAGTCTTGCCTCCTTTAGCCAAAAGAAGAAGCTGATCGAACTCGGCGAAAAGCTGCGCAGATGGTTGATGGACCGTGACTAAGACAGCCTGACCAGCATCTGCAAGTCTGCGAAGGAATCTGACGGTGTTATACGCACTCTGGCCATCAAGACCGCTAGTAGGCTCGTCGAGGAAGATCAGGATGCTGGGTTTAGAAACAAGTTCGACTCCGATAGTAACGCGCTTGCGTTGTTCGACACTCAATCCGGCTCCAACACTACCGATCATGGTATCAGCCAGATCATGGAGCTCGAGCAAGTCGATGATAACATCCACGTAAGCAAGTTTCTCCTCGCGTGGAGTGGTAGCAGGTTGGCGCAATAGAGCAGAGAACTCCAGTGATTCCCGAACTGTTGCCATACGCTCATGGATGTCGAGCTGCTCAACATAGCCGGCTGAGCGTTGAAACGAGACGGGCAAGGGACGGCCATCAACCATGATAGAACCATTGATAGTTCCTTCGGTTTTACGCTGAGCAAGGACGTCAAGTAGAGTTGTCTTACCGGCACCAGAGGAACCCATCAAAGCACCGAGCATACCAGGTTTCACCCATCCGTGGACGTTGTCTAGGAGGACTCGGTCACCGCTAGGTGTCTGAACTGTGTATGAAAGATCCTTCCATGTGAAGACGGACGTGTTGCGGACCAACTGGTTGTCAAGCCTCGGACTCTCATCCTTGGTTGGGGAAACCCGCTTCTCTGGACTCTGGCCTTCTTCATCCTTTTGCTGGTTGTTGACGTGCTTGTGCAAGTATTCACGGGGGATGACCAGCGTGCTACCCGACTCGGAGGGTGATTTCCACCTCGAAGTTGCGACGATCGTGGCAAAGACGAACAGAGCCCACCAGGCCCAGTTGATACCGAGGTTGCGCCAGACATGGGAGTGACTGTATGAGAGCGACGCTAGATAATTGTCACCGACCACGAAGTTCTGGCCTGGGATCGCACCAGCCACACCAGCGCAAGCTTGATGTGCCTGGACATTCTCATACCCGGGACCGGTGGGGATCAGATTCGTTCCGACGCATGGAATGACGCTCTTATCATGGAATTCTATACTCAGCAAAGCCTCGAACCCGTAGGCAAGCGGGTCAATCCAGAAGATCCAGCCGAGCCAAGGGTGCATTGTAGGCTTTGGGATCATGTAGCCAGTGTACAGGACGGTGCACATGATCAGCAAACCGGAGACCTTGGAGGCTCCATCAAAGGTAGAAAATAGAGCTCCAACGGCTCGGAAAAGAGCAGTCATAGTCTGTATGTTGATTAGTTGACAGTCATATGAGCTAATTGAAGGACTCTTACCATTGTCGTTGTGAAGACGATAATCCAGTAGGAGAAAAACGATGCAGCAGACATTGAGAGTCCAACCATGAAGTAAAGAACCAGACCAAACATGGAAACCTGGAAAAGCAATACAGGTATGTCCGCAGCAATTTGGGCAATACAGAAAGCGGCCGGGTGGAAGTAAGCGAAGCCCTTGTGCTTGATCAACACAGGTCTTCCAGAGAAGGACTCGTTCACTTCACTCATCGCGAGCAAGCTGTTGTAAAGAAGGGAGAAGAAAAGGGCACCGGATTTAATAAAAAGTCCGCCAGAGTTATCGGGGGCAGCGTAGAACAAAGAGCCAGCAATCAAGGCCTGGCATAGTGTTGCTACCTGCTTGATAATGAACGTAGCTTTGTCGCCCCAGAGGATTTGGTACTGGCGCTGCACGCATATCTTAACTTGATCAACGAACCCAACTGTGAAGGGGCTGTTCTTGGGCAAGGTTTTAGAAGTTTCAAAAGCCACTCCTTTCTTAAACTCCTCAGTCCGCTCGCGGGCGAGCTCAGAGTCCGGGTAAGAGTAATCAGCTACCATTTGAGTATGGATGGGTGATTTTTCATACTCGGCTCTCAGCGCCTCCGCGTTGCGCGGAAAGCGGCTCTCGAAGCCAGGTCGAATTCTGCGCTCGGTGGGTACGGTGACGCCAGTGAGGTAATCGGCAATGTTAGAGCCCTCTCGACAGATAAATCCGGCTTCCTCCATGAATGGCTTGGCTTGCTCTCTAGGGCCGTAAAAGATCTGTTCTCCTTCGTCAAGCACGAGGACTTTGTCGAACAAATCGTAAATACCGTTCCCAGCCTGGTAGAGAGTAACCACGGTTGACAGATTGAGTGTATCGGTCATAGCTCGGATAGCCTTGGCCCATTCAAGTGCAGTAGAGGCATCAAGGCCACGAGTTGATTGATCCCAGCAGAAGACAGAGCCTCGAGTGGCCATGCATTCGATGATAGAAACTCGCTTGCGTTCACCACCGCTGACTCCACGAACGTATTCATTGCCGACCTTAGTGTCCTCCGTGTGAGATATTCCAACGGATTCGAGAAGGAACTTTTTCGACGCTTGTTGATATTCCGAGGCAGTCATACCATCTGGCAGATTAAAGGGCACCTTAAGGCGGGTGGCGAAGTCCATGGTTTGGCCAACTGTTAGGGTTGGGAAAAAGATCTCTTCTTCGGTGTTCATCACAATTTGGCCTCGGAACTGCTCGGCCTCCTTTGGCTGCATGGAACCAAAGCGCACATCACCCTCCACTGATTTGTATCCTCCTCGTCTATTGGCAAGCATTTTCAACAATGTCGTACAACCAGAGCCGGGGCGACCAAGCACAAGCAACATTTCACCGGGCTTCACGCAACCATGGCTCTTGTTGAGGATTGTCCGTAGAGGAGGCTTCCGTCGGCCTTCTTTGATCTTGGTTGGAATATTGAACTGGGAGAGAACAGTCTCATTCACAGCGGCTTCTGAACTCATTACCTGCACAGAGAGATCCTGCCAGGTGACACCAAGTTCCTGTTTTCTGAATCCAGCTGCTAAGTTCCGATCGTGCTCCTCCTGGAGCTTGCCCATCATGCTCCAGTCATTTCCTTTGAGATTGGGGCTCTCCTTGCCGGGAGTCTCGTCGCCTGTGATCGTCATGGCGCTTTCGGTATCGAATTGGATATCGTCAGAGCTTGCGCCCGCGGCTTTTTCTGACCCGTCCATGAGGGCGGGAATAGGGAGGGTGAAACCGTTGAAAAATTCCGACTAGTACTTCGTAGACCACGCAGAGACCAACTTAGGGGGACTCCATCCTTTTATGAGAGTCTCACGGACCCACGCCAAAGCGGTGCCGAAAATCCGAGGCCGAAGCAAACATTGATTTGCTATTGGCAGCATCGAGATTTCGTTGCGGAGCTCCAAGCGATAGAATAAACATTCCGCTCTAGAACTCGTGTTCAGAGTCATAGATCAATAACCCGAAATGAATCGCGGCGCTTTTTAGACCCGATCCGCTGACTAATCGGCTTATTCGCTTAACCCTACATCCGATTGGAGTCTTGGCACCACACGGTCTCCGTCCCTGTGGGACCCTGTGGGGAAGGAATTAAACGTGGATAAAGGCCGAAGGCCGAGCAGGATGTTCATTGGACGAGGACCGTTGCTTGTCGGAAGAATATCCATCCATGGAGGACACTATCGTCCGTCCCGAGTCGATAGCATGGATATCCAGACTGATTCCATCTTCCTCCTAGAAGTCGCGCCCATTGGACATCTGGATGATGAATCTGAAGGCGATTGATACGATTGGCGTGTCATAACAAGATCTGATACCCTAATGCATGCACTTATGTTGTAGAACTTTTCGACCTCTGACCGACTTTCGCTTCATCATATACTTTCTAGCAGAATGGAGATTCGAAATAGCAAAATGAAACGGACTGTCTGAACCCTTAATCCTCTCATATTTGCTCGTGATACATGTGAGATCAATCCCGAACCTTAACGCCAACCCATCAGCACGGCCTCACGTAAGATTGTTGAATGCTGCCTAAAATTATCTGGTGGACTAGCCTAGTATAGTAAGGCTTGGGCTTTGATACACGATCATCAACAGGCCTCCTGGACAGAGGTTGAAACCTCGAATTGGGCCTTCCGCTTTATTTAAGCCCATTTTTCCCTCTCGCATAGTAATATACTCCGTGCATCCATGGACATAAGAGATTCAGCCGGAATTACGGGTTTATAGGTCCATCATTCCCTGACGACTGGAGTCTTGGCACGTAAGTCACGCCAAATGTGGGATCTTTTCCTAAAGGAGTGAATAAAGAAGGCATTGTTCGTGTAGATCTATGAAACAACCATGGCTTTCTTAAAAGCAAGACCGTCACCGCGCATCGAATCCTTGCAGCTGTTGAGGACCACCCATCAAGATTCCGCATGTCAAGGTAATGATTTTCTTAATCACCTAATGTAACTAACTAACTAATACATAGTTATCCATGGATGTAACTAGTTAGTTAACTATCCTTTAACGTAACCGGTAAGCGAGTGGCCATCCCAAGGTCTGCGAAACACATAGTAAATGCGATAGATTATACAACTTTATAAATTTAATTTTCACCGCTAGTGGATAGGTATAGATAAGCATTTGTAGGAGCATATAACTATCAATTTTGAAGAAATCGAAGATTTACATCATTGTCATCGGCTGGGTCTTCAAAATATATATATATATCTCAGGCAGCAAATAAAAGCCAGTAGGCTAAAAGGAAAAGTTCATATAGGGTATAATCGAAAAAAAGCGGAGTTATAAAAATTCTCCATATATATACTAAATCCTTTTACATATATCCTAGGTAGTCAAGAGCAATGTAGTATGGAAAAATGAGGCATGCCGAAGTTTGGATGAGACAAGACCTTCTCGGGTCAGTACTCCGGTGACTATGCCTGGCTCTTTCCCCTTTCTTCTTTTTCTTTCTCTTCCTCACTCTTCCTTCTCTCCTACATCATCAATCTCTGGACCAACAAACCCTCGACTCGATCAGGAGCGTGGGCCACTAACACACATTATTTCTAGTTCCAATACCTTCTAAAAGTCAAGAACAATTAAACTACAAATCCGGCAGTTTGGCCGAGTGGTTAAGGCGCTCGCCTGCTAAGCGAGTCCCTTCGGGGACCAGAGTTCGAATCTCTGAGCTGTCGTTTTTTTTTTTCGCCGGGTATAAACGCCATCTGGCCCCTCCAGGAAGGAGAGGAAGGAAGAATAGTGTGGGGCCTATTTTCTGTACTTCGGGGTCGCCTCCCGTTGCCGACTCGAAATATCTACCAACCGACTGTCTTATCCTCACTCACCGAGGAGCAATCATCACTGCACACGTACATGTATAGATTGGCATGTATTGACCGCCTGGCAGAACTTTCGTGGATCGCATAAAAAATCAGACATACAAAGCTTGGCCGTTAGTACCGTATAGCTAAGGTAGTTTAAAGGCTGTGCTGAAGATTGAATATTTTCTAGTGTATTTTCCACAGTTTCCTATCTCCAAAAATAATATCAATAACTCACTCCGACTTGCCCTCGAGTCTTTGGCTGGCAATTTTATGAGACAACTCCAACATAGACCTAGCGAGAATTTCCAAAATGGGGATAGTGCAATCCATGGACCTTGATACCCAGTTGCGCAGCTCCACAGCCACATGGGAGTCAACTCCATACTCGGAAACTGGGTTGGAAGGATTGATATTTTCAACTGGGATAGAGAGATGCGAGGCAATCTTCCTGCTGAGAGCGTCGCAGATTATAACAGTGGCTTGATCCACTGTTTTTGCAGCGTTAAGTTCAACCTTCACCCCTTCCACGGAGTCGCCGAGCGCAGTGGATTTCCCACGACCCTGAAACTTGTACCGGAAATGGGCAAACAAAGGCGCGTCAAAGTTCCCGAGTGATTCCATTTCTTTCCATCGGCCGAGACCAGTTACAAGCTGTGCTCCTCCACCCGTCGACTGAGAGATTGCAACTTGTATCAGGGATAAAAGAGTTGGTGTATCAGTGCCCTGGAACCCTTGTCGTTCCATCTTTGACGCTAAATCCTTGTTTTCAGCTAGATAGCCAACGTCTGTGATTGTGCCAAGGTCCAAAGACACTGCTGGAAGACCTAAAGTTCTCCGATAAGCTGCGAATGCGTCCATGAAAGTGCAGCCGGAGGCATAGGCAGCCTGTGTTGCATTCCCAATAACGCCGCTGATGGACGATAACATCAGGAAGAAGTCAAGATCCGTGGGGATATGCCGATGCAAATTCCAAGTTCCATGATACTTCGGGCCCATGACATCCCGATAGTCGTCCAAACTCATATTTTCAATATGGACATCCTTGAGGACCATGGCTGCCTGGATCAGCCCCCGTATCGGAGGCACACAATAAGAGAGTTCATGAAGCATTCGCTGAACCTCAGCCTCGTCGGATATGTCACAAGCTCGGGTGGTTATCTGTATACCTTTTTCCACCAGGTCTTTCACTGTCATCTGCGACTCATATTTTGAAAGGCCGCTTCGATTGACAAAGATCAGGCTCTTTGCTCCGTTTTGCGCCATCCACAAAGCCACTTCCCTCCCAATTCCACCAAGCCCACCCACCAGCATGTAGGACGCATTTGCGCGGAACAATGGCTGCATAGCCCTAGGAAGCGTGGCCTATATATCGTTAGCTGAAGGCAAGTTGACGTCCTCTGAGATACGGGATAAGCTGTACCGTCACAACGTCACTCTCTTCCACACGAACCACAACATGCTGCCGGCTTTGGATTGCCATTATTGCCTCTTGAATATGCGAAACATGGTATACATCAGTAAAGCCAGGCCCCTTGAGTCGTCTTTCGAGGAACAAGCGAAAGACCTTTCGCCATATATGGTTGAGAAGGTCCGTCCTCTCCTTTTTGAGCTCGAATATATTAACTGTAGACAGGGAGATGTTCTGAGGACATAACGACAGTCGGGTCTTGATGCTTGTTCGAAGTTGAATAAACCGACCAAATGGTGCAGTGCAGTTCTGCAGAAGTTTGTCCTCTGCAGTCTCGAATGCGACTACTACGTTTGCCTTCTTGCCATCAGTCAACCGTAACAGACCCTTTGCTACATCATCCTTCCCGCTTATGAAGATATGCTCTCCGGGTATCCCGAATCTCGAGCTCAGCGAGTCCTTTTCGTTGGGGCTCTGAACTGTCGCAAAGATCCTAGCATCCCTCAGCAAGTACACTTCCAGAAGTGCTTGGCCGAAATGACTTCCGGCATCATGGACAAGAACAGCATCATTCGACTCGATCATTGACAGGTGGTTCACAACATAATAAGCAATGGTATATGCTAGAGGCAAAGCCGAAGCCATCTCTAATGACATTTCATCATTGATCCTCTGGAAAGCTGATGCCCGATCGTAATAAAAGCTTCTCGCAGTCCCAGCTCCAAGACACGCAACCCGGTCGCCTACAGTTATCCCGTGGACCCCGGCGCCGACCTTGTGTACTATGCCACTGCACTCCATGCCGAGGGTGTCGTCCGTTTCCCAATCAAGATAGTCTGGCTGAATACCCCATTTATTCAGGCCAAAGGACAGTACCTTTATTCCGATGTAGCCGATAGGGAGGTCTGTCATTTGCGAATCACCAACGAAACCGGGGCTATCGAATTTCCTAGAAAGACGGAGAGGTTGCTGAAGGTCAAGGAAAGGCTGCTCAGATGTGGCTTCGGTATCACTAATGCTGTTCATGGTTTTGTTCGCCTTCGAATTCTCTAGTACTCGTGGAACCAGGATTTGCCCGTTTCTTTCCGCATACTCCGTGTCTTCATCTGGATGTTCACGGAGAAATCGGGTGAGCAGAACTTTTGCGATTATCTTGGCAGCTTGAGATTCAGAGAGAGGATTTTGCGCATCCAGATCAAGGGTGACAATCGGGTTAACGCCCGATTCGGCGCGTGCTGTTCTTGCAAATCCAACCGCCAAAGCCGCGGTTGGGTTGACGGACTCAATCGCCCCTCCCCTTGTGATCCAGAGAACTCCACCACTCTGTGTAGACATTGATTTTATCTTGCTGAATGTAGCTTCATTGGGCGAGGCCAGCAGGGAGGACTTTGAAGTATCCAAGAACAAACAAATCTGATCCTTACACTCGACGTTATCGACATGTGTCACATTCACCTCACATGAGATCTTCTCGAGCTCAAGGACTATATGTCTAGCAGCTTCCGTTTTGTCCCCACAGATAATAGAAACCTTTCTGGACGACTTGTGGTTTTTCCCTTTTTTGGCCACGATAAACTGATGGCTCTTCTCGGTGTCTTGATCCGCATAGGCATCAACCTCTGTGAAATGTGCATCTTGTAGGATCTCGTCCCATTGACTCTCCGTCCAACTACCCTGACCTAGACAGAATTCGTCTGCAGATAAGGAGTGCAAGGCACTGAATAACAGATTTTTCAGCACATTCTTCTTCGGGTGGAAGGGATTGATTGCAATCAAATGGCCAGTTGGTCTCAGGAGATCATGGATTTTGCTAAGCGCAATTTGTTCACAACGTGCAGTACACAATCCATGAGGCAGGATTATGATGTCAAAGGAATTTCTTTCAAATCCCTGTTTGGGGAAATCCTTGTCGAGATCCAAAGGCTTGCATTCCACCCATTCTGACCACGCCTCCAGCCGCTTTGTGGTATGCTCAAGCACGGAAGCGCTTTCGTGGGCAAATGTATATTTTCCGCAATAGGGTGTTTCGTTAAGCGTCACAAGACGTTTGAGAAATATCTCCGCTATCTGGCCTGTGCCAACGCCAAATTCAAGGACGGATATATCTGGCTTTCTGTGGCCAATCAAATTGACATACTTTGCAGCTGCTTGATACGAGGCGTCCGCTGAGAATATATCCCAGAACTCGTCCAAGAGCCGATCGTCTTTGATGACGGTGGAAAAGTCAACTTGATTTCTAATGATAGCCACAAGATTCTGGCCAATGACCGGCAGGAGCCTTGCCATCGGGATGGAATGGAGATTTTCCAAGGGTGATAGCGATACTGAGGGTTTATCATCATGTCGTTCGAGCACATCTTGGAGATAACACCTGAATCTGCGATGAGAAGTGTCCAGTTCCATGGCCTCCGTTGTGCTGACTTCCTCTAGCGCAGCTCTGATGAAGCCGGCTGCAACGTCTTCGTACTCCTGTTGAGGCGCGGGCTCTTGAAGGGTACTGTTGTCGTTGAATATAAATGACGCATTATCGCTGGACAAAAAGCTAGGATCGGGTCTCCAGTCGATCTGATAAATTGTGTGGCTGTCCTTTCCTTGTGATGCCGGTTCATGACGCTCGAGCCGCGCACATCGTAGACCACGAAGCGAAATGGTCGGTTCGGTTTCGAATTGCTTCTCGTTACATCTCACCGCGACTATGCACGCCGTCACGTCCCTGTTTGGTAGCGGGCGCACATTAGTACAGATACTCATGGGCTCTCCCGCCGAACAGATCAGACTGGATGATACGATCATCTCTTCAATGGAGACAGGGATTGCAGGTCCTTCTTCAATTCCTAGACCAGGGGGTAAAGCCGCAAAAATAGTTTGAAATATACTATCCAGAGTGCATGGGTGGACCAAAAGCTCGTGTTGAAATGATGCAGGCATCACCGATAGCGTATCTGGTACAGTGACTTCTGCGAAGCACGCCCCATCTTCGGTCACACGTGCTGTCGTCATATTGGCAAAGCATGGGCCGTATTCCAATCCGGAACTTTGAAGCTTCTCATAGAAATCACGGACGTCAATCACCGATACTCCATGGACTTCAGTCCCCAACGGGACCGTCGCATAACCATCAGTCTCCTCGACTCCGTCACCTGAAACACCAATGCTTTTCTGTATCCCGACCAAGCCAGCGCAATGCTCAATCCACCTATTCTCCTCCGAGATGGAGTATATGTGGAAATTGTACAGATGTTCTTGGTCTTGTGTAGACTTCTGAAGAGATACCATAACCTCGACGGCAGAAGTTTCACTGAGTACCAGTGCTGATTGTATTGCCACGTCTCGCAAGATGTATCTAGCAATCTTTTCTTCGTGTTTGTTTAACTGTATCGATGCTTCGATCGCCATGACCAGATACCCTGCGGCAGGGAAAACAATGTTCCCCTGAATCTTGTGATCGAGCAGCCAAGGGAGCTCTGAGGTTCGAATATAATTTCTCCAGCGAGGCTCGAATGGACATGCCATGTTGTCTGGTGCACCAAGTAAATCCATCCGCGGCGAGATTCGGTTCCGATACATCTTGCTCAGTCGTGGCTCTGCCCAATATGACCGGGTGTGGTTCCAGGCGTACGTTGGAAGATTCACCAATAGCTGCGGTATGCTACCTTTCTTGGTCACAGCAGGCCTGTTGATTGTACCAAAGTTGATTGGGTAGTTGAGTGATGCTAGTGTGGCGACTGCACCGAGCGCTGTAGTGACTGCGTTGGCCTTCCGCGTCAGAATGCCAATATAGGCTATATCTGCAGCATTGAGCTTTGCATCAGCCTGGAGCACTTGCTTGATCGGCCCAGAAAGTGCCGCATGGGGGCCAATTTCGATGAGACAATCCACAGAAGGCTTTCGGGCTGCCCCGGCCCTTCTTATCCGGGAAGCCCCTGTGTTCCCACCGCGCTGGGCATTCGTCTCAAAACACAAAGTCCTCAGGGACTGCGCAAATTTCACTTGCCCGACCAAGTTAGACACCCAGTACCGAGCATTCAATTCTTGCAAAGGAACCATCCTTCCAGTGACCGAGGAAAAGAACGACGGCCATTTATCTCTCTTGTCTTCCTTTATCTGATCCAGTCCTCTGGGCTGGATATGATCTATCAAGCTGTGATAATGCTCGGCAACCTGTTCTATATGAGGAGAGTGGTAGGCGACACCCACTTCAAGGCGTCGACTAAACACCTGTTGTTCTTTCAGTGTTTGTGAGAGTGCATCAATCGCAAGTATATCGCCTGATATCGTCACGCTCGATGGACTGTTGATACACGCGACCACTAACTGTCTAGACTGAAATTCGTCCAAGTAGGGCTGTACCTCTTCGGCAGACATCCCAACTGCCATCATGGCACCTCTGTTGGGTTGGTCATGCAAAAGCTGGCTGGCCACAACCCCTCGGTAGTATGCCACCGACATTGCATCGTACATGCTGAGTGCACCAGTAGCATATGCAGCGGCAATTTCCCCACTGGAATGCCCCGTTACAGATTCTGGATGTATATTCCACGATTTCAGTAAGTCGACTAGAGCAATCTGCAAGGCTGTGCACACTGTCTGGCTGAGACTCGGATGGTTCAAATTGGAGTCCTGGGGGCTCTTCGTGATCTCCTCTGTTCTCACCATGTCAGTGCGCGGAACTCTTAAAAAGCTAGGGTTTTGTGTACCTTCCACTGTGAAGGGAGCTGGGATGTCATTCAGGAATCTGTCGATCGCCAAAATTGACATTTTGAAGATAGGATAGGCCTGAAGCAATTCCTTTCCCATACCGGCCCACTGCGCGCCTTGTCCAGTAAAGACAAAACCAAGCCTTGGCTTTCGAACGGCACTCCTAGCCTTGACGTTCTGAGATAGTGAGGTTGCCAAACCCGCCATCGTATCTCCAACGACGGCTGCCTTCCATGGAAAGGTAGAGCGCCGCTCGTTGAGTGTGAATGCAAGGTCGTCCAGAAACTTCTCATGGTCAACATCATGTCCCCTATCGAGAATATGATTGCTCAGAGCCTGCATCTGTTGTGCACAGGTCCTTTCATCAAAACCAGAGACCATGAATATGCGAGATAAACCAAGCGGTGGGCTAAGAACTGTCTGATCATGGTTGTTGGAAGCAGCGGACGTGATTCTGTCATCTTCCTTGAGTCCCCAACTAGATAGACAGCTTTGGGCATCCTCGACAATAACATGGGCATTGCTTCCACCGTATCCGAAGCTATTCACAGAAATGCGACGAGGCCCTGTGGTCTCCCATGGCTCAGGGCGCAATTGAACCTACCGACGTTAGTCTCCAGCTGTCGACTTGCCCGAGTACCCAAACCTTGAGTTTCCAATCGTCGAGTGGGATACGGGGGTTAATCTTTTCAAAATTCCTGTTTGGCAAGAACATGCGGTTTTCTAACATCAGCACTGCCTTGATCATACCCGCCACTCCACTTGCACCTTCCAAGTGGCCGACATTGGTTTTGACGGAGCCAATTCGCACAGGATTGTCAGGTGACCGACCAATTCCAAAGACACGAGCGATTGCCCCTGTCTCAATTGGGTCTCCAGCCAGTGTGCCTGTCCCATGAGCCTCCACAAAATCGGTTTCCGACGGATCCAGATCAGCCCGTGCATACACGCTCCGGATCAAACTTTCTTGGGCTACCCCGTTAGGTAGTGTTATCCCTGCAGTGCGCCCGTCTTGGTTGGAACCCGTGCCTCGTATCACGGCCCGGATCTTGTCGTGGTCGTGTAACGCCTTGGCTAAGGGTTTAAGGATGAGACAGCCAGCTGCCTCGCCTCGCGCGTACCCATTAGCCTTTTCATCAAAGGTATGGCATCTTCCATCTGAGGAGAGAAATCTGGGGCTAAATCAGTCTAGTTTTTCCAGTCGCGGGTAACTTTACATACTTCATCATGCTCATCGTCGACATAAACTCGTGACTCAATATCAAATTGACGCCCGCCGCAATCGCTGTCGATGCGTCCCCTGTCTGAAGGCTTTGACATGCCAAATGAAGTGCCACAAGGCTTCCCGAGCACGCCGTGTCTACCGTGACGCTAGGCCCTTTTAAATCAAAGAAGTACGAGAGCCTGTTTGCCGTCATTGCACGAGACTGTCCGGCGTTTGTGCACTGATACATGGGCACACACTCGGGATCCCGAAGTAGGAGATCAGTATAGTCTGCAGAAAAGGACCCCACGAAACAGGATGTCTTTGTGCCCATGATTTTGGTCAAAGGAATGCCAGCTACTCGCTATCAGCCTCGAAAGCGTTATTCGGAGAAGTAACTTACCATTCTCAAGACCTTCATATGCTACCTCCAAGAGCAATCTCTGCTGGGGATCCATGGCCTGATCGGGTAACAGTTAGATGAGATTGACAACACTCGAATCCGTACTCACCGCTGCCTCGTCGCTTGTCATGTTGAAAAATGGCGCGTCAAACAGAGATACATCCTCTTCCAGAAAGTGGCCACCTTCCACATTGATCTACTCCCGCGTTATTGATTATTCCAACTCATCTCATGTATAACTTACCGTCCCATGGCGAGCATGATCTGGGTGATGGAATGCTGCACTCTTCCACCTGCTAGCTGGAATTGGGCCCCATGCCTCTTTACCCGTGAGAATCATTTCCCATAGCCTCTCGACATTTTTGGCGTCCCCCGGTCCCCGGAAGCCAATTCCCACAATCGCTATCGGTGTACAAGATTCCGCGGCCAATTTCGCCAGATCATCTTCTGAAATGGTCGCTTTTGGGGGTTTGACGTTAGTTTGTGGCGACATTATTGCTTTTGGTTCGCTGGATGTCGGCCAATAACCATATATCTCATGCCAGGGCAAAGCGAGGGGACTTGTTTTTCTCAGGCCAGGACAATGGGATTTCCTGTATCAGGGAGATCAGTCTACTCGGCCTTTTGGCGCTATTCATTCTCCGTGACAATCTACGTCGGGACATGTGGGAAGGTGTCACATCAAGTCGCAGCGAGGTAAGTATCCGGGTGCAACCCTCAACGGCGAAACAAAACTCAAAGCCCATGGATATCTCGATCTGAAACACATTTTCTGCCTTCACGAACACTGCAATATACTATTATTACAACATCCTGGCCTGGAAGTTATGTTCCACAACCGCAAACATACTAGTCATACTAGTACTCCCCTCTTTGAACAAACTTTTTTTCGCCCAGCCTTTGCCTCCGTGTCGCACAGCCGAAATGAAGACCCTTTCTTTGGTATCTCGTGTCACAAGATTTGACTCGACAGTTTTCGAATTGCAGTGGCAATTATGGCGACATTCTTCCGATCACTGGGGACATCATGGCCCTTTCCATGTACGGCAAATGTCGAATACCTCGCAGTACAGAGCCGATACAGAGCCATTGAGTATTCGAAGAGTGGGTCTTTGGCCCCAGCAATATGCACGCAAGGGATGGAGATGAACCCCTCTAATCCTTCGTCTACGACAGGACGCTGCCCAGGTTCCATGCGAAATGGTGGCAGGGAATTGATGAAGATTGCGCATCGAAATAGCGCAGGCTCATTCGGGTTCATCTTGGCATGGTGGATCATGAATCCAGCAGCCAATGTGCCGCCATGCGAGAAGCCTAGAACCCCGTCGAACGGACCTTCCAAGGCAACTGTTTCACTCAGTTGCTCGTACGCCTCCAGAATGTCGGATTCATCCATGTCCTCGTGGGAAAAGGTGCGTGGGAAACGGTAGTAGCTGTAGTACGGACCATCATAGTAGCCGGCGATTCCAGGCCCCGGATCTGAATCGACGTCACCTTCGAGGAAGGAGAAGGTCGCGGTGTTGTCGCGTTGGAGCTCATGCATGAGCCCACCTGTTTGATTAGAGTTTTGTGCCTCTCGACTAAAGCAGGAGATTGCATACTCAGTTGCGACTGTAGAATCTATTGGCGAATTAGGATCCAGATAACCCCCTGTCAGCAGTATTGGTAGCCTACCTTCTGATTCGTCCCCCAGCCATGGAGACACAACAATCTTAGAGGCATTGTGTTGGGTAGCGAGATAGGCAAATGAAGTAGAGAAAAAATGCCGCTGTCATCAAGAATCACTGCAACTTGCCATGGTGATAGCCATGTCTGCCTGCGACATTTTATATTTTCCTTCGTGGCGAACAACAACCCACGGCGGAAAAGAGAATCAACTCGTTCGGCTTCATTTCATCGATATGCACGAACGACCAGGGGCCTTGAAACTCGCCGCGAGGAGACAGATCCACTTCGGTCTCAACTCGGCCAAGCTGTCAGTTTCACAGAGGACGTCGATCTGACTATGTGAGCAGACTCCACGTAGCCCACTCGGTGTTGTACTCAATCCAATTTCCAATTCTAAATCAAAAGCACGGCGTTATATATTCGCCATTGATATTACCATATTGCTAAACGTGTGAGCCTACCCAGGTCCTATTGGTTTTTATTGCCATCAGAAGTTAGCCATCCACATGGTTTCTAGGCTATTATAGCAATAATTAATTGAATTAGATATCTACATATGTATGCAACGTCTATCACACCTCCGAAAGTCTTCACAATTTGCCAAACAGCACGCTAACTGTATTGCTTAAATCCCCAAGGCTTCGTATTCCTGTTTTTTATTATGGTCAACAACCAGAAAGCTCCAAATGAGGAAGCCACAATGGGACTTTCTGCAAGAAAACGGACCTACCTACATGTAGGTGTATCATTCTGTCACATGCACGATTCCGTTTGGTTATGCTTAGTCATCCACATGTTTGATTGGTTTGCATAGTGGGGTTTTGCCACCGAAGGTTTACCCTCTGTATCTTCCCAGTTTATCCAAATCCTCTCTCTCGACTTCAACTGAAATAGAACTTATATCACATCAGTCTCAGTTTGTGCTTCTTTCGGTATAATCACTCTTACTATCCCCTAATTGCCCTAATATTTTTCTAGTTGAGGTTGTCTTTGCCCCTTTTTGTGGTGGCAACCCCTATCGTGCATGGTCCATTGGTGCACAGAGACTGGACCACATTCTGGTGCCTCGTCCCTTAGGCTGCGTGGCTTCCATATGTTGCGTGGCTTCCATGCATACCTCAACGTGGAGGTTCCCAAGGTTTGAATAGACCGTTTCTAATAGGACGTAAGGAGAGGGAACCCTTGCAAGATAGCATGTGTGATAAGGGATAGAGGGGACACAACGATAGAAAGGTCTCGACCGGTAAATCAAAGTCATTGAATCATGTGCAACCATACAGATTTACGCCATGTCCTTTTGAACCCCACCGGGTGGCGGTCGAGTGAATCCCTTAAGTGGGTCTTGCTTCTATCTATAAATCTGATGTCTGTTCGCACTCTCTTTGATATCACAGTGGATAGAAGATTTTCAAGACACTCTGACACTTCCAAGTTTTCCACTCCACTCCATCTCAGGAGGTGGCTGCAAAACAAATGCCCAAGACGTGGGTCAGGATCGACGTTTTGGGCAGTCCGAACGCCTAAGGGGTTATTTGTATGTGCCAAAGATAAGGAAATGAAGCAAAAAGTCAAATGGAAAACAAAAAAACAAACTATACAAGTCAGTATCAAAACGGAGGCTTAACAGGGAACATGGGAACATGCATGAACCATAGACCACTTTAGCCTGCTAATACCACTGAATAGAAGATTGCCACCATATGACCCACACTACGTGATGTGCAAGTAGTACGTACTCTAGAAGATCTAGATCATTTTCTATTCCCCGAATGATAGGGAGATGTCAGTGCATGTATCCATGGATGTAGGGTTGGGCCTACAAGGGACTCTGTAGATGTGCATATAAACGTATCTATTATGATTTCATTATCTGGGAGATCTAGACTTTCCTGCTTTTTTTAACTATTTTAGCTCTCCAAGCCAACTGTATCCGCATTGAGGGAATTCTTGGGCAATTCCTTGGTTTCGCCATTTAATCCTGTTCTAGCCTTATCAAAAGAAAAACACTCTTACTTTTTCTCTTTTATTCTATTCATCCTTTTCAAACTGTTCATCTTTTCATATATTATTTTTTACCTCTGACTTCTATCATTCGTTGTGCCTTGTGTCTTGCATAAACGGCTTGCAGCTCTCGGCTAATCTCCCGAGCCACCGAGCCACCGAGCTCACTCAATTCCCTTCATGTCGGGCTTCATCAACCCACATCCCAGTCCAAATGAAGAATATGCAGAATACCCTCTTCCAATCATTGACAATCCCGGCGATCGTCAAAGCCTCGAGCGTGAGGCTACCGTCGATGTCAACCAATACGATGCCGGACTCGAGCCAACCACACGCCGTCGCAGCCGATCCCATCACAGGGTTCGCTTTCGCTCGATGAGTCTGCGCCGAAACGAAGATGCCGAACATCCCTCGTCGCGCCCGTTATTGCCGGCCCCAGACCTCAACGAAATCCCGCTATCCGGAACCATCACTCCGCCAGCCCCCACACATTCCCGCCGTGGCTCTGGCCTCGCCAACGTGCACACCCCGGACGAGTTGGGCGAAACGGAGAAACATGATTTCGTAGGTAAAATGGACCGGACTACCTCGGTCCGCGACCGTTTCAGAGCTACCGGTCAGCTTTTGCGACAGAAGACTAGCCGCTTGACCGAACGCCTCGGTCGCCCCACGGATGAAGGCGAGCCCCTCAACGCCTCATACGTTCCAGAAGAATTTGACAGCGGTATCCCACTCGAGGAGCTGCAGGCCCGCCGCGCTCGCCATGATGCCGACCGAGCGCACGCATTGGAGACTGGTGAGGATGTTATCGAGCCGCCGCCTAGCGCCGAGGCTCATCGCTTGGTCCGCAGCATGACCATGGTTCAGGATCAGCTGCGGAAGCGGAAACCTCGGGGCGCATATCAGCGGTCGGGACAGACAACTCCCGAGGGATTGATCAGCGCCTTTACGCAACGGAGACGGTCCAGTGGATTGGCCGGTGGCAGCGGCATTTTGTCGCAGTTGCTGAAGCTCCAGGCTGCCCAGACTGGGAGCTCTTCGCGCCCGGAAAGTGTCATCACAGATGACTCTGACAGTGACACACAGGTGTCTTCCGGTATCTCCACCCCGAAGAAGGGTTCTCTCTCGCCCCCTCTCCCCGCGTCTCTGTCTCTGCCAACCTCTGGTGCCGCTACCCCGCGCAAGGAGAAACTCAAATGGTACAAGAAGTCGGCTCATCTGTCCACCTCGTCGCTGGTCAATGCCTCCATGAACCTCAGCACGGCCAGTCTGCCTGCTGCGGCAGAGGCCGCCCCGGGTGTGCACAAGAAACGGAAGAAGAGCAAGCGTAAGACCCGTCTGGAAGATGAAATCCGTGTCACCGTCCATATTGCGGAGATCATCGCACGTCAGCGGTACATCATGCAGCTGTGCCGTGCGCTAATGCGATACGGTGCCCCGACCCATCGCCTGGAGGAGTATATGCAAATGACCGCCCGTGTCTTGGAAGTTTCGGGCCAATTCTTATATCTGCCCGGTTGCATGATCATGTCCTTTGATGATCCTACCACCCGCACAGCCGAAGTCAAACTTGTGCGAATGGTGCAAGGAGTCGACCTTGGTCGCCTTGCTGATACGCACAACGTTTACAAGAATGTCGTTCACGATCTTATCGGTGTCGAAGAAGCAACTCAGGAATTGGACGATATCATGCAGCGCAAGCCCCGATTCAACAAATGGATCTTGGTCCTAGTGTACGGTCTTGCTAGTGCGGCCGTCGGTCCATTCGCTTTCAAGGCCCGACCGATCGATATGCCCATCATCTTCTGTCTGGGTTGCATTGTTGGGCTGATGCAGCACGTTCTCGCGCCACGATCAACCCTCTACTCCAACGTCTTTGAGGTTACTGCTGCTATCTTGACTTCCTTCCTTGCCCGCGCATTTGGTAGCATCATGGTTACCCGCAATGGTACATCGGAGCCACTTTTCTGCTTCTCCGCTATGGCACAGTCATCTATCGCTCTGATTCTCCCTGGATTCATGGTTCTCTGTAGCAGTTTGGAACTACAATCTCACCAAATAATCGCTGGTTCGATCCGGATGGTATATGCCATTATCTACTCCCTCTTCTTGGGCTATGGTATCACAGTGGGGACAACGATCTACGGGCTGATGGATGGCAATGCAACGTCGGAATCTACATGTTCAGGGCTGGATGTCTACGGATCGGTTTATGCACGCACATTCCCCTTCGTGGCTATCTACGCTGTTTTCCTGGCCGTTGTGAACCACGGAAAATGGAAACAGATGCCCGTCATGGTCTTTATCGCTTTGTGCGGGTACGTCGCCAACTATTTCAGCACCACCAAGCTCGGCACCCAATCTGAAGTCGCAAATACCGTCGGCGCATTCACTATCGGTGTGCTAGGCAATCTGTACAGTCGGGTCTGGCATGGCCATGCCGCCACCGCCATTCTTCCCGGTATATTTGTGCTAGTCCCCTCTGGCCTTGCTTCTAGTGGGTCTTTGATCGCTGGTATCAAATACGCCAACGAGGTTCGCCAGAACCTCAACAGTAATGGCACTTCTATGGCTTCTGGTGCTCTTTCTGAAACCTCGGTTGCCAGTCTTGGTTTCGGCATGATCCAAGTCGCCATAGGTATCACAGTCGGGCTGTTTATCGCGGCTTTGGTTGTCTACCCCTACGGCAAGAAGCGCACTGGTCTGTTCAGCTTCTAGTCATTTATTTTGCATTTATGAACATATTTCTGTTGTATATGTGTCATGTTTCAGCCTTTCTGTTTCTACATTTCGGGTTATCGGCGTCAATTCAGCGTTTGGGATTTACACTGCATTTCATATAGACTTATACGGGAGCGTTCTTGAGCGATATCATTTTTAGACATTGTCTACAACAATACACCGATCTATAGGATCTACTTAGACAAGACACCGACAAACGTTCTTATATCATACAAAGGCTGTTTTCTGATAGTCAAAAGAACCAGTGGATTCTTCTCGTCTCGTGTCGGAGCTATCTGGCCGCAGCGACACGTCAGGTGTTGCCAAATACCCCGAGAATCACGCAGGAGAGCAAACTTACCATACCACAACAGAAAAGACGACTCGAAATGCGAAGAATCATCCCAACCGACTTCATCGTCTCAGACCGCGTCGGCGTCGTGGAAAATTGACACAAGCGTCCATGCAGCCATCACCGACGCCGCGGGCAACCTCTATGCAGCCCGGCGACCCCTATCGAATGATCGAATGACACTCGCCCGCTCAGCAGCGAAACCCGGGCAGGCGCTAGGAATCCTTGACACGGGCGTATTGGACAGGGTCAACTTTTGACGAAGCCTATCTTGGCTTTCATGTGCGCCTCGAATAGCGGCGAGGAGCGACGTACCGCTCGCGCCCGGGGTATGTTGTCGAAAGTCTCTGCTTCGGAGACCGATCTCCGCTGCAGTGGTCCTCCTCTGTCGGAGACTGTACACTGCGCTTGGATCAAGAGCGATTTCACCCCAACTCAAGTTTGTAGTAATTGTCTGAGCTAGCAATGTGAAGTTTCTATTCAAAGAATATCAAGGGCTTTCAGCCTGGCATCATTGGCTACCCTCGACCATACTATACTGTCTTTATTATATTTATCGTTTATTCGGTGAATCTCTTGCTTTAGCATCACTTGTCCCTTGCTTTTTTATCATGTAGCTCTTGTTGTTTAGTCTAAGTTGAATTCGGCTTTTCACACGAGGCAAACAATCTCCTCATTCATAAAGAGTTATCCAGGAAGGTTGGCTTTTAATATAGGGTCTCTTATTGTTATCCGTTGAATTTTCATTATCCTTCTAATGAATCAGAGAAGCCGCTCTGTTCACTTAGTGATATTCTATGTTATTTACCTGCACAATGAGCATAGTGGCTATTCAAATGCCCAACTGCGGTGCTGCAGTATCACTACATAAATTCATACAAGATTGCCATGTCACCTCTGGCTTACTTCCTATCATGTTTACATCCCTCGTCCCCTATACAAAACAACATGGATGCCAGTGGGAGTGAGTATGAACAACCCTCACTGGTAAGTCTCCACCCAACCCAAGATTCCACTGGCCTATGTGCACAATCTGACTTAGGACAGCCATCGAGCATGAGGAAGAGAAAGCGCTCAGCCGAGCATGATTCTTCGCGGGTGAGTCCTGAAATTCCCTTGAATCAGTTTATATTTTTGTCCAGAAACTGACATGTCTTTCTAATCAGGCGAGGAAGAAGCGCAAGCCAGCGCTAAATGACCTCCACAAGCTGCTAGTAACCTACCAAGGTTTGCAGCAGATTCAACGAGAGCTGAACCAGCAGCTCGCCGTCTGCGAGCGCCAAATTGCCAAGCACAAATTTGGCAGTATCTCGGGAAAGTCTCGCCGTCACCACTGTCGCGGTGGTCCATACGTCTTCCCGCGTGTGCAATCTCCACTGCGCGAGTTGGTCAAGGTGGAGGAGGACCCCGATGTGCCCACGTTCTGGGAGCGTGTGGGAGAGTGGTGGCGGAGATGCTGGTGAATGGGGAAAGAGGTGGAAGATGAACCACTATGGATATTGGGTGGTTCTCGCTGGCGAGACTCCTAAATCTGGACGAGTATACAGTATTGTGAAGGGCCACCCATGTTAGAAATGATCAGAATGTCATGTCTTTCCTGGACAAACCTGGCCCATGCGGCCTCTGTCGTCCATCTCTGTCAATTCATACCTTTGGGTGTCCGATTAGTGATCGTCGTGCTGGTAGCATACGTTCTTCCCATGTATGTCATTTATGACTTAAGCAGCTTTCGCGGCTCCTATATATCCTGAGCGGTTGTAGGATAGCCCTTCTATCATTATAGCTTCGATGGGTTACCATGGAGATATACATATGTACATACATATATCGACAGTGACGCATCTTGAGGGCGGCACTGATTTTCTACAAAAGACATCCCTTTTGGGCAATACACACTCTTCCTGGAGAATCAAGATGTCATACAGTCAATGCATAGTATTCTTGGCCTGCGGGCCCCCTGACATATTTATTTGGACCCATACGTACATAAGGTAAGGACCATATGTATTTCACACGTCATCCTGCCACTTGATACATATATATATGTACTCAAATGGCCTGAAGTCGAAAAGATCGAACGGCCACTTCTTTGGCAACCGCGTCCAGGCACGGGTCCTACCTACCTACTACAACTCCTGACTCTCTCAACATTCACACTTTTCAGTGAGTGGCCATGGATTATCTCCCACGTTGATTAAAATGTATTTGAAGAGACACTGGTATCCGACCACCCTTTGACCTTGTGCGGGACAACTGAGGTCTTCTTAGCCTCAAAATTGGAGCCACTCTGGAACAGCGTAACAAGAGTCTAAGCAGGGCAAGACGCACAATCCACCCATTTATCGCTCCTCCCTTGGACAATAAAATGGCAAATCCACCGAAAACAACCTGGACTGAGGAGTCTGGTCAAAAACCTCGTCCCAATTGCCACTCACCATCACCACTATTACCACGCCCCCTCCAAGTATGCCTAATCAAAGTGCTACCATATGTGGGCCCCCGCTCAATGAACGAGCAGCTCACGCTCTATGATTACTTTTGAAAAGCGGAAAATGGCTCGACAATTGCATACATTTATGTATGAACCTCAAGGTCTTCACACGTTATCCAACGGCCCGCAGACGTCCAACCGTATGACCCAAATCACAATCCGCGCCCCTCTACCTCCGAGGCAAAATAACGAGCTTCAACCCTAGTAAATTGATAGAGTGCCAAGCCTGGGCGTCAAGTTGCGTTCGGCCAAGCCTATATCCAACGCTAAACCTCCTCATGATGCCGTAAGACGGCTGCTCTTCCATTAAACAGTTTCCTGGTCTAGCGGTTATGATTTTCCGTTAACATCTGCTCTTAGCATGTTCCGGAAAGGTTCTGGGTTCGATTCCCAGGGAAACTATTTTTTTTCATTTTCATAGATTTCAAATTGCTTGGCGTACTTGTATTTTCTGATTTCAACTTTATTTGTTATTTTTTGTTTCTTTCGGACGGTTCCAGGGTTAAAAAAGCAATTGAAAAAAAAAATGCAGCATACGCACGCAGAGTGCTTGGAGAAGTTCAGAAAAACAACATTGAAGAATCGGTGATTCGATGGAGAGCGCCCGTAAAAGTGCGGGTCTGCGGGCGGGTTTGAGGCCTACCGGGTAGTAGGAAGTGTTGGGCGCTTGGCACGATTACGCCGCTATATATGGCTGAGGTAGTTTAGGGGCTATGTTCTTTACGAAGGCAATCCTATAGAAAATGGCACTCGTATTAAAGATTGACTGCCAAGATTAACCCTTCCTAAAGGGGCTAGACCACCATGCCAGTAGTGTTTTCCACTATGCCAATAGTGTTTACCATATGTAAACGACGGGACGGGGCAAGTGTATTTCTGGCTGACAGTTAGATTAGAGTCGTTTGTGGGATTCTAATACAAATAATACAAATCGGGTTTAGGATGTTTTCCTCCAACTTGTGACAAAAATGGAAAGAGGTCAGAAATGGCAGAATCTAAGATCACCATGTCTAGATCGGATGTGATCCAGATAATGCATGGATAGTACGTGACTCCGCCACACTTTTTCCTTTTCCTATTTCTCTATCGGATTTGCCACAAAGTATGTCTCTAGTACTTTGCTTCGGAGCTTCTGAATCGCTCCTGTTTCCTCAAGATCTTTTTCTCCGTCTTTCGCTGCCCAGCTCGCAAGAAAAATGGCGGAGGCGTTTCCAATTCCTCCCCTCTCTCGCGGACCCCCAAGTCCGCGTAAGAGATGCCGCCTCCTCCGGGAGTCGGAGGATAATGAAGGGGATATGGAAATCGAACACTACGTCCATCGCACTGACCCATTTCGAAGCATTAGCTTCCCAAACCCCGATCCGACAGCCCTTAACGTCACCACCATGACCGCTGAGGAAGATCCTACACAGCATTTGCACCGTGACATCTCCAACACCCTCGACCAGTATGGTCTGCCAGCAGAGTCACTTTTTCATATGTTGAATGCAACCATCTCTGGTGCCAGCTTTCCTCTGCTTCGCGTTGTTGTTGCGGGTGATCATTCGGCTCTAGTGCCCCTAGGGTCCATCAAAAGCGATCTTACTACCCTTCTCGACAACCATACCCTTTCACAGATCCAGGTGGAGGTGATCAACGGGGACCACTTTTATATCCCTACTTTGTTCCCGATCCACTCAACAGCCGAGCTTGCCATTGCGTTTCACCATCTCAAGGATGAGATCGTCCGACTTCTCGACGAGACTCTTGGAACCAAATGGCAACTGGTTTGTCCATTCAATGTTGGCAGGGATTCCCGTTCCGCGCGGCCAGCCCTTGTTGTTGGTGTTCTACCTTCAACAAATGCAAACTGGTATCAGCTCCAAGCCCACCTGACGCATCGACTTACGTCACACATCCCTCCTGTTTTTACAGACATCGAGTTTCTCCCTGGGAAACTCAGCCTCCTTGGGGAGGGTGATCCCGTCTCATTCAAAGATCGCGTCAAAGGTCCTGGGGACATTCAGATGGGATATTCAATCGGCATTCGAGGACATAGTAACGCTGGTACCTTAGGAGGCTTTGTCGAGGTTACATATGACGGCGAAACGCACCGTGGCCTCCTGACCAACTACCATTTTGTGCGCCCCTCCCCCCCATACGCTCACCTTGATACAATCAACCGTAAGGGCATATCTCCTCTCTCGTCTGTCCCCTTCCAGGGGGCAATGACTGTAGAATCTCTAGCCAGGATGGACCGTGACTATACCCTGACCGATCTTGACGACCAGCTACACGCCCTGGAGACACAGAAGGCTCGGGTCGTAGACTTCATCCGACAACGGCAGCTCATTGGCAAGGCACCTCGCGCATCCTCCCAACAGCAGCTTGAAGCCGTTGAAACCTGGGAGAGAACTCTGATTGCAACGCGCCCAGTCATCCAGGCGATGCCACACGTCCTAGGTGACGTCCATTCTGCGTCGGGCCTCTTAGTCCATCGCCGACGTGTTATTGATTGGGCTTTCGTCGAGCTGACTCCGGAGGCCGAGGAGCGCTTCTTTAGGGCCAACCGAATGCCCGAAGTCCCAAGAAACCAGATGCCTCGAAGCGGGCGCTCCGGTCCACCTCCGGCTCTAGTTCCAGCAGGCACCCGTCTCGACGAATTTAGCTCGTTATAGGAAGACACGTACTATGTCAAACAAGGGCGCACCACCGACGTAACGGGTGGAGTGTGCAACGGTGTGCTGTCTGTTTGCAAATGGGCGACACGATACGATATCAATGGTAATACCGTCGACAGCAAAGATCTTCGTACGGAGGAGTTCATGATTATAGGTCTCCAAGATCGCTTTATTGAGTCCAGTGACTCTGGCTCATTTGTCGTGGATTCGACCGGGGCCGTTGCGGGCCTCGTGTTCGCCGAATACGAACACAACTTCCAGGCTGTCGGACTTGCATTAACAGTCCCGGATCTTATAGACACGATGAAGTGTCGACTTAAGCGTCCCGTCTCTCTACGTCTCCCATAATTTCCTTGCTTCCATCTGTTTTCATTGCCGGAAACGTATTCACGCGAGAGTAGATCGCCTCGACATAGGCTATGATCTTACGAATTTTAACAGAGACAGTGACCTGGTTCCTCGGAACCATAGATGATTTTTTCCAACCGACAATGATATGATTCTTAACCTGTCTGTCTTCATGTGGTTTGAAGCGGTCTGCCTATGGTCATCCTTCGTGGACAACAGCGTGATTCCAGTCTATCTGTTCATCTTCCTATCCTCCTAGTTTGCTGCCTCCTGATTGTCTTCGCTATATATAAATAGATCCCGCAGATTAACCTCGCCTCCTGGCTGCATTTATGGGCTTCTTCGGTCCCATCGAGTTGGCGCCAGCTTCTACCTATTAGTCAGGCTTGAGTTCCTACGCGAGATTCAAGTCGACGGCGAAGTCCTAGAGGACGGTTGTTGGATTATACTAGCTACGCATGTCTCTTCTATGAGAATATTCTGCTTTGCTTTAAGTTTCATTTTTGCTCTAAGCTCTTATAGTCTTTCATTTGCTAATGGAAATTGCTTTAAATTGATTGCGACCTAATTATCTTGAAAATAGAGTAGATATCCCCGAATGCATATATGCACACGGTCGCTATCCAGCGATTCCCGCAGAGATGACACAGGTAATCGTGTTAGATTAGGGAGATTTGTTGATTTCTGCAATAAAGTTCAATCAGCATCTGTTTCCTATTCGGGTATAGGATAGTGTGGTAGCAGAGGATCATGGCGTTTGAAGGTATTATAGGGAGGGGGCGTATTAGAGGATGGAAGGAAGATGTTGGGACCTGGAGGGCCAGGACACTCGAAGATGGATGAGTATGCATCCTGGGTATTACATATACCGCGTCTTACCTGATATAGTTAGAGGGGTGTGTTTTTAGCACTGCTCGCTGCAAAGAGGAGGCTAGTTCGCGCTGGCGATTTAGGGGGTTGCGGAGCTCGGTGATCCGGATCAATAGCAAAAATGCCTCCCTTGCAAGGCGTACACGAGCAACGGAGCGAAAGGAAGGGTAGAAGGTCGAAAAACAGCTAAAAGTTGAAGCGACGATGAAGGGTAACCAGAATGGCCCAACAGCAGCATATTGAACGGTCGCCTTCTTTGCCCTCTTCGCCTTCTTCTGAGGATGATGAAAACGCAGAATTATTTTCTGCAGTTCTCTCGACGCTTGACAGAGAGCAGTTGCCCCTGCTTGCGAACGCCATTCTACGGCGCCTCCAACCCCTCCATCGAACCACCAATGCGAAACCCTCGGTCGGCGAGCCTCTGTATGGATCTTACCACATACTCTTCCCGTTGACGTTTGATATCGGCCTTCGCTGGATCGCGAAAATCCCTATTAACGGCACGGCAAGCAAATGGGATGAGTTGTCTGCCTCGGCTCTGATCTCCGAGGCAAACACAATGCGCCTCTTGAAGCGTGAGACCACCATCCCTCTACCTGATGTTTTGGACTTCTCCTCCACCACGCAAAACACTCTTCGATGCCCTTATATTATCATGACCTTTATTTCCGGAATCCCTTTATACAACGTCTGGTTTGGACACCGCCTAAAAGGTGCCTGTCCTGACACCACCCATTTACACCGAATTCGCGCCCTTGAAAGCATCGCCTCGGCAATGGTGCAGCTAGACAGGTTTTCATTTCGAACCGGCGGCCGTATTCTCTTTGGAAACGATGGCAACCCATCTCATATCGGGTCTATGCGACGAGTCGATCACAAGGCTATGCTTGACCGATGGTTCGTTCATAAAGATCCAGACGATGACCCTATCTATATCGAGTGTGCGGCATCCAGCGACCCGAAAGCGTACTACACCCTTATGCTCGACATGCACCCCGAACGAAACAAGGTTCCTAGGGGTCTCGCAATGCTCTTACGCCAGTTAATAAGCTGGATCTCTGAGCCTAGTAGTATGGATCCCTTTGTCCTTGCACATCCAGACTTTCATATCCAGAACTTCATCGTATCCGAAGAGGGCGAGCTCCGAGGTGTTATCGATTGGGATGGGATCGCTGCTGTGCCTCGTACTCTTGGCAACGAAAGATATCCCGGGTGGCTTACGCGCGACTGGGACCCAGCTATGTACGGATATAAGGAGTCTATAGAACATGGGGTGGAACCAGAAGGTGTATGGGAAGATTCGCCCGATCTCTCGCCTACTACCGCGGTATCTATGATGATATAATGGCAAGGCATCGAATGGAGAGAAGAAGAGGATCTGAAGCCAACCTCTGCCGAATGTCTCTCATTACGGAAAATTTAGCTATTGCGGTAGATGATCCTCGGTGCCGAAGTGCAATTCTGCGCAAAATGGTGCAGGAAATATGGGCTGTTGCGGAACGAGGTGGGCAACTGGATTTCACTGATCTGGCTGACATGTTCGCCGAGAGCAATATTGATGTCGTGGTGATGGAGTCGCTCCATAGGGCCTTTAACACCCTTCTATCGAAGAAAGGGCTATAGGGTGCGTTTGATTACATACTCCAGAAGAGCAGCAAGGAAGTTCTAGAGCATAGATGATTGTTATTGATTGAATGATATATGCCACGATTCTAGCCTCCCTCCATGCGGAGCCATGTGAAATCTACGACCTTGTCGGTGGAACAAGCACTCATTCTCACGCTGTTGATTCATGGAGCGAATGTGAATAGTATTGATATAGAACTCAGTTTCCCACTCAACCTCTGTCTGCGAACGTCTAATTTTGATATTGAACCGAGACCCGATCCGTCGCTTCCTATTGGAAAATGGAGCTTCAGTTTTGTGGTCTGATACATCAGGGAGAAACCTGACTCATATATCGATCCTTGCCTGTCCTTGGATGCCGCATGTTGAGTCCATCTCGACTTCAGTAGATTTTGAGGTTAACATCAGATGGAAAGACTCGAGTAATCATGGCATACTTGATTATGGGGCGATGGATGGGTCAATATGTCAAGGAATTTGATCTTATATAAGAGCGCGGATCACGGGGCCTCCATGATTAGGATAATGTAGAACCCCTTATTCGTACGCAGAGGCTATGCTGCATTAGGATCAAAATCCGACTGGAGGTAGACGGGAAGTCACTAACAATTTTCTAGTAAAGACCAAATGTGACTAAGTAGGGTCCTGATCGATTGTATCTATTACACACTCTTAAGCCTTCGTGCAATTTCCTTAGTCTCAGCAGATATCGAGATATATCTACGTAGATTACTTTTTGTAATAGTATAGAGGCATAGTATCACTTAATATATATGTCATATCGTTCGTTCGTGTGCAACGAGGATAATCTATAACACATCCGCGTACAGTGTTATTACCACCGATTGTAAAGCTCTACTTGCTAGTTATTCTATAATTTAGGACAGAAGACGAAACGCGGAGGACGGAACATTAGTGAGATATATTATATCCGGTCTACACGACGCTATTTCTGCAAAAATAAACCAGGTTCATATCTATCTACCTTATCTATTATACTGTCAGCCGGAATTACCCTTAGCCCACTCCGTCATTTTTATATTTACTTTCTAGATCCAGTGGCCACCTGAGGCATCACTTGCTGGAGTACTCAGAGGATCGGCACTGCTTTATAAGCCCATACTAGGATAAATAGTCGATCACTTGCTACTCTTTAGAATACACACTCTTTTTTTACCACTTGCTGGGTATAGTAAGTTTTTTGGTATTAGTTCACATTAGTGTCCCTCGTTCGACAGGGTTAAATTCCGATCCTAATAGAGTATCATCGTCCCCAATCATAATAGGGTTAGTCTCCGTGCCTAGGCTCGAAGAATCGAGTATGACGACCGTAGGCTAGTAAGAATGCTCTATAGAGATTAACGATCTCACGTTAGCGCGGTTAACACGGTCGTCTTATTAGAGATCTCACCGAATACTTCGCGGGCGTTATTCGTAGAGGGTCCTGTACTGAGTCCTGACTAGAGTGGGAAAAGGAGTTCGGGTAAAAGGAGTTTGGAAACTTAAATTTTTTAGTCTCACGTCCTAGCTTTATACCTCTCTAATAATCGATTACGCCTTATTCGCCTTATTCGAGCTAGAGGCGGAGCACAAGTTCTATAGTAGAGAATAAAGCCTCCCTGCTAATCGTTTAGCCACCACAAAGCCTACTCTCTATCTATTATAATGAATATACCGTGCTATTCTTAGAGGCTGCATCTCTTTATACGGCTTGTGGCCGCTACTATCATCGCGAGGTTTGTAGTGCTCGCCTACCAATCGTTCCGTGGCCTAAGATAAAAGACGAAACGCGTAGGATTCTATTACTATAAGGCAACCCTATTTCTTATACGACGATCTCGTGTTGTATACCAATCTATCACGAGGCGACGAGCATTCTAGGAAGGCGTCTTGACAGTAGGTCAGGCGTAGATATACAGCAACGACCGAGCGATAGTACGGCGTGTAGATCGAGTCCCAGCTTTCGGACGTTGAAGACCGCGCTAGCCTTAACTGACCGATCTTGGAACCTGTAGTTGCGAGCATCATAAACGAAAACTAGGCGAATCTAATCGAGTAATACATTCATTGTTAGTGTTCTAACCTCAAGGCGGATTTTGGGGACCCGCTACGTAAGGCGTTTTTCTAGACGTGACAATTTCGATCGGCATATA